CGATGATGGGCGAATGTACTGTGTCCGATTTGAGCTCAAGTTGGATGAGTTACGCGTAGTAAATCGTAGGTATTATAAGGCTAGTAAATGACGAATTTCCCTTGTTTATTCATGTCACACTCCTTCCCTTTATCTACTCCTGATGTTATCGATATATGGGAGAACTGTAAGTAAGGTCACTCAGATTCATGCTGCTATCATTCACGAACACGTGCACGCATAGTGACATGCACATCATAGTCGTTATATGAGCTACAACCAATCACTTCAGATATAATGCACCAACCTCTCCTATAAGTTCATAGCACCATAGAGTAAGAAAGCTTGAAGGGCAAGCCGTATCCCACAATTCATGCATATCCCGATCTGCTGATACGCGTTGCAGGCTGCTTGTTTTCCGCTTCTTATACCTGAAAACATTGTACGTTGGAAAAATGACTACCCTAATCTTTTGTATTTGCCAAGTTCTTTACAACTATATTAATTATTATGCTAATTGTATATTACTGTATTACTTTCTCAACTTTATAAAGTTTTATAAATGCTACTATAACATATCTTTACAACACTGTTTAGTACTACTCTACAGTTACTGGGAGATAAATTATCCAAACAAGCTTAAAGGGATCGTTTACTCTAGGTTCTAGGGTTATTTTCAGTTAATGTAGGTTAAAATTACGCTACATAAAAAGTTTCATGGTTCAATCACCATTAGAAATATTATAAAAAAATGTTTTAAAACTAACGACTACAGTTTGATTACAACGACGGTGGCGCCACCAAAGCGCACGATCTGATAAGTTGGGCAAAAAGACTTTTCAGCCAAGGGCTACAGACCGAGGGTGTTTCTTATTTATTAATTTAAAAGAAAAAGGATTGTAATATCTTATAAACGACATATAGTTTCAGTTATATTATGGATAAATTTGTCCTAAAATGAACATCGTTCGGTTAAATAGCATTTAGGATTTTAGGTATAAATATAATTGCACCTTTGTGATTAGCCCTCGGTCCGTAACGTGCAAAATTAACTGGCAAATGCGCAACTTTTTCAGGGTGGCAGCACGGTCGCGGGTGTCAATGGTGCCGTTCAAATTTCGTAGCGTTGATGTATAATTAATTATAACAATTAAATTAGGTATCTGGTAACAAATACGTGTGGGTATAGACGATTTGTTATACAGTAAGTACAGTTGTATGCAGTAAAATCCTAGAGTCTAGTATTGGGATTTTAATTATTGGGTTTTTGGTATTTTAAGGATACACTCAAGGTTTTATGCGATTATTGCTACTACTCTGTAGGTCTTCCAAAAGAGAAGAAAGCGGACAGCACCATTACTTACCACAGACTAATATTAGCACCCTGCAGCTTGCCTGCCACTTGCTGGTGGAATGTTGCATAGTTAGCGTTGGGTCTCACAGGCACAGCGCAGGTGTATGTGTAGTGCACCTTGACAATGACTGGCTTGTCCACTGGCTTTCCAACTGAGTGGCTAGAGTCGGAACTACTGCCACTCACATTGAGGCCTGCAACGAAAACATGCTCATAAATGTGATTCACATCATAATTATATTATCATCAAATTAAATAGAAGACAATTAAAACAGCTGCTTACCACTGAAAACAACTACCAGCGCAGTACCGCCGATACATCCAACGCAGCAACGCAGGAGGTATTCACACAAAAAACTCAACTGACGAAATTCGACCTGACAGACCTAAACTTACCTGAGGAGTGTGATGACACTTTCCCCTTGCCATTTGAAAGAGCAGCAGTGCGTTCAGGGGCTGGACCGGCAGTAGCAGGCACTGACAGCGACGCAGCCTTAGGCACGACAGAGGGTTTAGCAGATATAGGTGGGACCTTCGGTAGCTTGGACGGACTAGATGCATTTGAACTGGACCCATAGGACTGGGGAGTTCTATCGGCCAGCGCAATCTTTGGCTTGTCTTTTGGATTATGATATGTGGTTTGCGTGGTGCTGGCATCCCGACGGCCGGGCTTCGGTGAGCTCTTTGGACTCGGCTTTCTGCTGGGGAGCTTCTCCATGGAGGCGACCACCTGCCAGGGAACCACGAGACTACTAGATTGCAGGTCGATAAGATCACTCAGGGCATGAAATTCAGATTTTTTGCACCGGCCCCGAGGGGTAACAGCATTTTTTTACCAGCCCTCACCAAAATTTTCCAGCCCTCACAATTTTTTTTTTTCAAAAATAAAGAGACTTTCATTGACTCTTGCTTGTCCGAAAAATATTGTAGTGTGCAGCATCGCGTAGTAGCTGTTGAACTGACTATAATGCAGATTGTGAATGATGTCCGAAGTGTTTTTCTCAATGTCATGTTTCATGCTTGCATTCACGATTTCAAATTTGTAAAATGTTGATAAAATATGGTGTGATATCCTTCAGGTAAAACAGTAATGTGAGCTATTTGCTCATTAATGCTATAAATAATGACTGTAGCTCACCACAAAAAAGGACACAAATGAGTGAGTGAGAAGCAGTCAGTTTTAATTGAGCAACCAATGTACATTATAGAAATGAAGAGTATATATGGGAGAACTCCCATTATATACTCTTAATAATTATGTGTAATATTTTATGTGAAAATAATAATCTCTCGAATATGTATTCGGTTCCGTCGCAACTGGCTTCCATTGGGGCTGGCAACAATATACGACCGAGGCTCGTCGCATTTCGACACAATGGTTGCTGGCTGCCAACGATTAGTGTTGTAGTCCTGGACTGTCACTGATTGTCCAGGCATGAGGGGCGGCAAATCGTTTGCCACACGATCATGATACTCTTTCTGTGTCACCTGTCGCTTCTCTAGTTGTTCGCGGATATTTTCTGCATCGCGATGTTGTTGTACCTGCTTGACAGGGATGTTTCCTCTCAACTTGCGACCAGCGAGCAGCTCACCTGGGCTAGGTAGTTGCTGACTTACCGGCGTGGTGCGAAGACACAGCATAGCCATGTAAACATCAGTGTTCGCTCGTTTCGCCTTGCTAAGTAAACTCTTCACAGTACGAATCTGTCTCTCGACAAAACCGTTAGACTGTAGAAATCTAGGCGATGACGTTACATGGTCAAAACACCACTCTCTCGCGAATTCTCTGTAGCTCTCTGAAGCATACTGAGGTCCGTTGTTGCTTATCACACGAGTGGGGATTCCGTGTTCGGAAAATACCTGTTTGGTATGCTCGATAACGACTTTACTGGTAAACTGGCTTGGCAGTTTCCGAATAATCGGAAACTTGCTGTAGTAGTCCGCAATTATCAGGAACTCACTGCCATCGAACTGGAACAGGTCTGTGCCTACGACCTGCCAAGGACGGCTAGGTATTTCATGCGGTAACAGCGTTTCCTGTGTCTGCGATTGTTGGTACTCTTGGCATACTGAGCATTCCTTGATCAGAGTTTCAATGTCTTTATTTATTCCGCTCCAGTACACTGCATCCTTAGCACGCAGGCGTGTTTTCTCTATGCCCTGATGTCCATAGTGTAGGTTCTCGAGTACCTCCTTCCGTACCTCAGCTGGAACTACGACACACTGTCCCTTCAGAATAATGCCATTTTCCACTGATAGTTCATCACGGTACGACCAATATGATCTGATTGGTGTAGGGATCTCTCTGATTGTTTCTGGCCAGCCAGTAGTGATAGTTTCACTTAGCTGGTTGAGTGTGGAGTCTCTCCTGGTAGCTTCTCGTACGCTATTTAGGCGTTCTGTGCTAAATCTCACGAGGTCAACTCTCACATCAAGATCAATGGTAACTTCGTTTTCTGAGCTTGGTAGTCGCGATAATGTATCGGCTACTGTCATCTCCCTTCCTGGCCGGTATTCAATGTCTATACGGTATCCCTGGAGCTTCAGCATCATACGCTGTAGCCTGGGTGGTGCTCTTGTCAGAGGCTTTTGCAGAATCATGACTAACGGTTTGTGGTCAGTCAGGACTTTGAAACTGCGGCCGTAGAGATATGTATGGAAGCGTTGTACACCAAATACTATGGCGAGTAGCTCCCGTTCGATACATGCATAGCGCTTCTCTACGTCAGATAGTGTTTTGGAAGCATATGCCACCGGTTTCCCATTCTGCAACAGAGCCGCGCCCAGTCCTTTGAGGCTTGCATCAGCTTGCAGTACTGGCGTCTGACTGGTGTCAAAGTACTGCAGCGTGGAGTCTCCCGTCACTGCTCGTTTGAGCTCATCAAAGCTCCGCTGGTGATGGTCCTCCCACATGAATGGCACATCTTGTTTTAGCAGGTCACGTAGAGGTGCTGCTTTGTCGGCCAACCTGGAGATGAACGGTGACAAGTACGTTACGAATCCCAGGAATTCTTGTAACTCCTTCTTAGTAGCAGGGCTTGGCATAGCCTGCAGGTCGGCTATTTTCCCTGTGTCAGGGTGTACGCCCTTATCGGAGTATGTCATACCAAAGAAGGCAATGCTGTCGGATTTGATGTTGCACTTGGTCGAGTTGAACACTAGACCAGTCTTGGCGGCGACACACATCAGTCTGTGCAGAATCTGATCGTGTTCCTCAGCAGTTTTAGCATAGACTGCTACATCGTCTGCTATGCCTACTGCACCATCCACTTGGTCCAGGATCTGATCCATTTTCAATTGAAAGATGTCCTACGAGACGGACAATCCGAACGGCAGACGTACAAAACAATATCTCCCAAACGGCGATTGGAATGTGGTGAGGAGCTGCGAGATTCCTCGTCAAGTTTTATTGACCAGTATCCCGCTTTCGCGTCAAGCTTTGAGAATACCTTAGCCCCTGCGAAGTGGTGTGTGAGTTCTTCTACAGTAGGTATCTTGTGATATGGACGTTTTAGTGCTCGGTTGAGATATCTTGGGTCCAAACAGACATGCAGGGATCCGTCTTTCTTGTGCGAATAGGCCAAACTAGACACCCAGTCTGATGGTTCTGTCACCTTACGTATGACGTGGTTTTCTTCCATGTAATCCAGCTCTTTCTTTATTTCGTCTTTCAGTGCAACAGGGGTTTTTCGAGGTGCATCAACGTGCGCTGGCGCATTTGGATCGACTGTAATCTTGAATGTGCCTGGCATACATCCAATCCTGTCGAACTGTTCGGGGTACAGTCGCTTCAGGTCATGCACGTTCCCTATGGAAGATACGTCTGCTCTCGTAGATGATTTTGTTGTCACTCTATCAGCAATGTTTGTGCTGTTGATTGCACAGTGTAGTGTCACTAATTTTAGCCGTTCACTGGACTGTAGACCAATAACAGCTGGTCCTTCCACGTCCACTATGTAGAATCTGCAGTCGGTCCACTCAGAACCGTTATACCTGCATGGCATGTCAATAGTTCCACGGCACGGGATTGGTGTGCTGTTGTAAGCAGTTAGCCGTGTTCGTTTGGCTGCCATGGCAATTTCTTGTGCGGGGTAGCCTCCGTTGTGAGCATGTTGGGGTACATTCTGCGAAATACAGATAGTGGCAAGGTGTTTCCTTGAGCACCAGTATCTACCTTGAGTCTGAGCGTGTGTACGCCTGGACGGTTGCGTAGCTTGATGTCTAAACCTGCGAATGCTTCATCGCGTTGCATCTTATCTAGACACATGGTTGACACAGTTATGTGGCTGAATTGCAACATATCAAATCGCTCACCCAGGTCCTCCGCACTGTCTTGTGCATTGTGTATAGCGTCTGCATGCATATGACTATGGTTATCTCTCTTGTAAGGAGTGTTGCTGCGAGCTCGGTATGGCTTTCCTCCCTTGGAATCAGACCTTGAGCGTCCACGGTCACCTGAGGGTCCCCGACCACGTGGTGGGGATTTGTGCCATCGTTTCTGTTTGCTCGCTTGACAAACGCGTGCCCAGTGGTTCATTCTGCCACAAGCTTTGCACTCTGCTCCATATGCTGGGCACTGTTCCCGTGGTTTGTACTGGTGTTTTAACCCACAATTACGGCATATGCCACTAGCACGTTTAGTGACACCGTGTATAGCAGCAGTTGGTACACTCATGTCCTTAAGCTGTTGTACATGTAAGTCTGCCGCTTCATATGCCCTGCCTAGTACTAGTGCGTCTGCTAGTTTATAGGTTTTGTCCTTGCTCAGTAACTCTTTTTGATATTCAGGTATAGGGGTGCTGGCAATGATCAATTCAACCAATCTGTCATTGAGCTCATTTCCCTCAAAGTCACATCTTATTGCCTGTAACTTACTTCTATTCACGAAGTCGTCAACGGATTCTCCTTGTTTTTGGCGGAAATGCATTAGTTTCAGGCGACTAATACGGTAGTTTTCAGACGGCTCTAATTGTTCGGCGAATCTGGCGAATATGCCGCTCGCTGATTTCCTCTCATCGTCTGTTAGCGTCCACGCGTTATAGCGGCGAAGACCCTCATCTCCCACTTGGAGCAGTATATAATTGACTTGGTCCTCGTCTTTTACCCCCTTTACCTTGAAATATATTTCAAGCCTTTGCTTGAAAAGCTTGAAGGCATCTGCCTGGTCAGGCAAAGCCCAGTCCATGCGTAGAACTTGCTCACGCGACATGCTTGTTTACTGCTCTACCGTCTACAGCATTTGTCACAACGCGCACCGTGCTGCCATCGCACGAGACGAGCTCAAGGCTGCGCGCACATCCGGGCACTACATGCCGATCGTTGGCATGGCGCGCTGTAGTGTAGCCACTCAGCCCATAAACGAGGCATCATGCACCGCGGGCTTTCACACATACATTAATCATAATATGTTCATAGCAGGAATTTTGCATTAAAGATATTGTCAATGAAATCTTGTAAAACAAACCAGACGAGTGTGACACCACAGACTGTTTGTTATCTGCGTGTCTATATAATATGCTATATAATTGCCAAACCCTACCTAATTTGCATAATATTTTTTTTTTAATATCAAAACCTCTAGTCTTTATTCATTCACAAACCAAAAATGAGCAAAATCCGTTGAACCTGAACTGACTAATGGCAATTCCCATTTTTGGCAAAAAAATTGCCGTGGCTCAAAAGTACGTCGACTGGCGTACTCCAAAATAGGACGTTTAATATGGGAGCATAGCAGTAACAACTATACCCAATTTCAAACATGTGGGTCAAACTGTTCCTGAGTTATCGTTGACCGTAGCCAAATGTTGACCAACGGACGGACGGACGGACGGACGACGGACGACGACCCATGGCAATAGCTCAGCTTGACGCTGTCGAGGTGAGCTAAAAATGTAGGTACTCGCTAACACGCCTGAAATCACCGGCTCGGAGGGCTGGTATTTTGCCAATGTTACCGGCCCTCCAAATAATTTGCCGGCATATGCCGGTGGGCCGGTGCTAATTTTGCGCCCTGTCATTCCATGGCATGGTAGTCATTTCTTCACAAGGTGATGCGGATTCTTGGCTCATCTGAACGATAATCCACCAATTGTGCTGGCGTCCGATGTCTGTCCATGGACCGTCAATAATAGTGGCTGTCAATATCAAATACCAGCCACTGCTTCCCTCTTAATTGCCTACTCCAACATTCCTTCTTCATCATCGACCACAGATAAGCACTGTCACACTGCAACCATAGTTGCGCAGTATAGTAGAAAACACTTTACTAGGCTGTTGTTGACATTCACGAAATTTATGCACGAAATGCAATAATCTTTTAAGAGTGGCTTTCAGTTTTAAAGTTTTTAAACTGTAAAATTGAAGCCAATCACTTGGCTTTCGTACACACACTGGCCCATTTATTGAATAGGGAACAAACATGCAAGGCAGCATGGACAACGATACTCTGTATATTAGTGAAAAGTACACGTCATGCAGAAACGAAACACGATAAAAACATGATGATATATGGAAATTTAAAACGTTTTTTTAGGGAAAAGCTTTTTGTAAATCTACAACAACTGATATAAATTTCGCATAATGACGTAATTCAAGCTGCTCACTTTACCTCAGATTTTCCGAGATAATCTTTCTTCTCGAGATTGGATGTCATCGTTTTTGGCGGCCGAAATATAGAATTAGTGGGTAGCTCGTGTAGAGGAAAAACTTGCTTCCTCTGAAAAAGAGCACATGAGATTAATAATAAACCTACAGCCTCTCATGCATCACCTAGGTAATGCTGTTGCAGATTAATATATTAACTTCTATATAACCAAGTTTTTCACTTAGCCATGGCTAGATATGTGTTCCGGTGGTTACTGAAGGGTAAAATTCTCTGCAACAAGGTGATGTAATATTATAATCTCATTTACAGTTGATGCCCATATCAGTTTATTGGTGCTAATAAATAACAACTTAAATGCCAACTCATCTCGTAGACGGTAGAATCAATATTATTTGTATGGTACCTATAAATATCACAGTGAAAATAGCAATATACAAGAAGCCACAAATCTAGTGTAAGTCCTAGAATATTAGAACATTTCCAATGCAGAGATCAAAGGGTAGCAATGTCTTGATCTCATCTTATTCCGTTACAGAGGCACATTCGACATCTAAATTCAACTTTTCTTGCATCGCATCCTATGATATTAAGGCAAACAGAAACGATCTCAATCCAACCACAGAATGACACTCCTGCACAAGGAAGCCAATATGGCTCACATCACTCACCACGTGATGGATCAGATGAAATATTGAAAACCGTGAACCGTATTATGAAAAACAGGATGAGCCGTTGCGTTCACGATTGTGCGCGGATGCCTGCATCAGCCGCGTCACATCCAGCCGACCCACTCATACACCTACCAAGGTTTCTTATACATAAGAGGCACAGTGGCGCACTGCCGTTGTCTAATTTTCCCTCAGAAGAAACCCTGCCTACCATGACGTAGTCCTGACCCGCTCATACACCTACCAGGGTTTCTTATACATAAGAGGCACAGTGGCGCACCGCCGTTGTCTAATTTCCCCTCAGAATAAACCCTGCCTACCTTGACGTAGTCCTGAGCCTTGTGCAGTTTCTCCGTGCTGCGTTCATCCAGTGACAGCGTGAGAGCCAGCTCTAAGTAACTGGAGGAGTTCGAGAACTGTCCCATGACTGCGTGAGTCAGTGCCGTGTTGTATAATGCCTGGCAAAAAAAAACATTGACAATCAACATAATAATGAGGTGATAGATCACTTGCGCATTCTAACACTGGGACAATATCACAGTAGTGACAGTACAGTTAAACCTCGACCACGAACGAGACGGGCGAGGAGTATTTTGTTTGGATAACTGATTGTTCGGATAAAGTCCGGCGCACATTGCCGAACATTTTGCTCAAAAACATTATCGTAGCAATGTTCCATGAAATGTTCGGCAATGTGCGGTGAAAAAAGTCGCCGAACATTTGTTCCGAACAATGTTTCTGAAGATCGGAAATGTTTGATATCTCGAACACTGTTCGTCGAATGTTCGTCAATGTGCGCTGAATGTCGAACAATTCTAGGAACATTTGTAAAGTAGTAACCAATAGCAGCATGATATGTGGTCACACATGTCTAGCACAATGAGAAACGCTTCTGAGCACTCTGCAAGGCTGCCAATCCCACAACTACAATAGACTAAGGCTCTTATAAGATAGTATAATGCAATGAGCACAAAGCCACCAGAGTCCTATGTCAACAAAACTCTGTAGAGAAGGGAAGATAGAGATGATAAGATTCAGAAGCCACTATCTCAATTAAACGCTATCAACACAAAATTTTTATCAGCTTTAAATCTCCATCTAGCTTTATTTTGCCATTTGTAAGAGTGAATAGATAGCCACCATATCGTTTGTGTAAGCAATGCTCAACAACGTACAGAACATTTATTTGGAAAACTCTATTGCCGTGCAATATCGCGCGCATCACACGCGTTCAATCGCAAATAGATCAGCTTCGAATTAAATTTGCAATAGAGCGCCAGTAAGTCGAAACGAATGACACAATGACATGGCAAGCTCCACCACCATGACTACTCAGTAGCATGCAGCGTCACTTGAGCGTACATGCAGGCCACGCTAACCAGCAGCCATCAATAAGCCAGGCAGCAGACGATAGTGTGAACCATCTCTCTCTCTCTCTCTCTCTCTCTCTCTCTCTCTCTCTCTCTCTCTCTCTCCCTCTCTCTCTCTCTCTCTCTCTCTCTCTCTCTCTCTCTCTCTCTCTCTCTCTCCCTCTCTCTCTCTCTCTCTCTCTTCGCGTCTCTTCTCTCTCTCTCTCTCTCTCTCTCTCTCTCTCTCTCTCTCTCTCTCTCTCTCTCTCTCTCTCTCTCTCTCTCTCTCTCTCTCTCTCTCTCTCTCTGCCGCTCTCCCCCCTCTCTCTGTCTCTCTCTCACCCACCCCTCTCTCTATCTCTATCTCTCTCCCCCCCCTCTCTCTCACTCTCTCTTGTGCGCGCCTGCCGTCACTGAAGCGCCATGATTGCGCAGCATACCGGCAGCGATCGCAGCGGTCACTCTACTAACGCTGGAGGAAAAGCTGCGCGAGTTGCGGCGGAGACAGACACTGGCGAGGCGTGAGGGGCATCGGGGCATACAGAGTACGGTCACAGTGACGCGCAGTTTATACTGGCCAGTACAGCGTCAACGCTGAAGCTGCGACTGCACTTCTGCAGTGTAATCGGCACTCTCACAGCATCAACACATTCAAGCCGCACGGTGTGAGCCTCTTCGGTCATTCCTCGATGCAAAATAGCCAGCGGCCTCGCGTGCTGCGCGTACACAGAGCTGTGGAAATTACCGAGGCGATTGAGCCAGTCAGGAAACCATGCACCTGCGCAATACAGTAAAAACCCGCATAAAAGAACAAGTGGATTAAGAACACTCAGGCTGAAATGTGGTCAAAAAATATCATATACATAAGAACACATTCAACCTGAAAAAGTAAAATTGTTCTTATATAAAAAAATTGGCTGCTAGTTAGATTAGAATACAGTAATCTACCAGGGTACAGTACAGTACTAAGAATTTATGTGCTAGGCATTGCACATATAGAGTTTCACAGCAGGTACATGGGAATTTCCAGGGTACATTTAGCAACTGTTTTTAGACTTGGCTAATTGATGTATAAACTAAATGACTCTTACCTTCTGTCAATCACATTTTTAATTTGCTGCAGACACAACATGCTGACAAAAAATTGTTTAATTTTACAACTCCGAACTCCTGACCTTTCAGTTGAACTGTTCTAGTTTTCATGGTGAATCAAACACATTTTCGTAGGTCACTGATTTTCCAATCTGACCCTTCTTTCTCCATGTTTCTTCTGTAACCTTGTAATCAGCTTTCTCAAGTAGCGAGCATTCCCAACAAGTCTATAGTCAACTGGAAGTTCAAGTCCTTTACCTTGGCCTGTGTTAAATTTACTGCCAATACATTCCGCCTCAATTTTCCCATGCTCTGACAAAAACTTATGAAAAATCTTGGATAGTTCGATTGGTACGTGTCCAACAATCTTCTCGTCTTTATTCCATACGGCCACTGTGTAATAAGGTAGTGTTCCCGTGTAATGACGTAGGCACTAGTTTAATGATGACGCTGCAGAGTAATGACGACAGTCTCTCTCGTATAACGTAGAGTAACTGAGTTTATTAAGAACGACCAGCAACGGTACGACAGCACGTCATAACGCCGTCAGCTCACAACTGTTACTCACAAAGCGTATCTCTCCCGCTCTGGTTATCCCGCTCTGGTTCTCCCGCCGAATATATATCTATGGCGCCGAATATATGGCGCCGCTATCAGCTAATTTACATACAATGGAATGCCCATATGACAACTGCATAACTGTCATGGTCATTCTCCGGTTCCATCTCCCAGTCCATAACTTCCCCAATATACACCATTGCATCTTTAAAATAAGCATGGTACCCACGCACGCTTGCCTGAACATAGACTTCGTATTCATCTGCCATTTTATAGTTTGATTTGTGCCGAAAGCTGACTTTCCCCAAGAGAAATTCAAGATGGAAGCTTCACTTTCCCTCACTCGAAATGCCTTTTGGGTAATTTTCAAGAAAATCGCTGTAGGTACCACCAGAACACTTAAATCAACTTTAAAAGAACTTAAAGTTGATTTAAGTGCTCTGGTACCACGGTGGGAAATCCACCAATGAGCGCTGGGACAGGTTAGGAATGAGATCGTATTTGAGTGTCTGCGTGCGCTTGAATTTTGTATTTCTCATTAGAAAGGGTTAGAACTCTTTGCAATTGTTAATTTCAGAAACTAGAATCTTTTCTGAATCCGACAGTGTAAACGGCTCGTCCGAGGTGCGTTGCTGGGGCGGCCCAGGAATTTTCAAAGAAAGCCTACTTTTTGTGCAGATTCACATTGTAAATTGGCCATTTCGAGTGTGTGCTGGGAAAATGTTGTTTACAAGAGAAATTATGGAAGAATTGTTTTTTTAATAACATATATGGTGTCACTTGCGACTTGGATTCAGAGGATGGCATTATTATTTGTAAAAAAAACTTCTGCTGATTTATGGGAATTTTTTCGTAAGTATGGCCGCCTATGGATCATGATATCCCATGGTGGTACCTTAACTCGTGTTGTAAATAAGTGCCATTATTTTCAGTATTTCCCGTTACATTTGCATGTCGATCGAAAACGAAGCAAAGAGCCAGATTTTTTTTGCTGCAAAATTTCGGACATTTCAGCCTTGTTATATAATTAATAGCATGTGTTCTTCTGCTGTTTGGATTAGTACAAGAAAGAAATTCGTTCTCGCTGTGTGTTTGGTTATAGCTATGGGCGATCCTTTTTTTTTTGTTTGGTTAGGTTCATTCGTGCGTGTTATTTCTGTGTTTGTTTTCCTTTTCCTAACAGACACTACTGGACGTCAATGCATGCACATAGACTAGCTTACATGCTGAGTACTAACTGCACGAGTCTTCCTCGAAATTTGCACGTATCGCATCTTTGTCATAACAAGTTGTGCGTAAACTGTTCGCATTTGTCATTGGAGCCACCCGCAACTAACAATTCGAGGAAGTACTGCCTCCATGCAGTGCCACCGAAATGCGTTGGCCACTCTCCCTATCCTGCTTGCACTCTCCCTACCTATCCAACTAACAAGTAGTAACCAACTAACCAATTTAACTAACTTCAAATGGCAAAAAAATAGACATGAGAGATAGAGTCTGTCTATCACGGTAGGTAACATCTACTGACAGTAGGCGTGGTCAAGCTTCGGACGTGGGTCTAACAAGGCTTTTGAATATGTCGCCTCACCTTTCACCTCGGCTTTTCTTGCGTGAAGCGAATATTTGACCTTTCTTGCATAACACCGCCTTTGTCTCTGTAGCTGCTGTCGTTGCTGGTTCTTAATGGCGTTGCGCCTATGCTCTTCCTGTTGCAGGTACTTGGCGGACCGGCTTCCGGAAACGAGTGCGGCCCCGACGAACTCGCACTTCTCGGCCGTTGCCGCGGCGACGCCTCTGTTGAGATGAATAATTTGCCCGTGAATGCGCCCCAGGCGCACTTGGGATTTGACGTCTGGTACGATTTGTTGATGGCTTCCGATTTCTGCGTGCTCGTGTTGAAACGGGTTTTTCGAGCGTCGGCCTGCTGAAGCGATCATCGATCCACCTTTCCAGGAGCGCGGCGTCCGCTGCGGTCGGTGCGAGTCCCTCGGGCAGGTAACTCGTGTCCCAAGGGCTCTGCCTGCCACAAACGAGCGAATGCATGCGGCATGCGCGTCCGCAATTCGCCGTATAGCAGTGCGCGATCGCTTCGTGTACGGGGGCGAGTTGTTGCTGTAATTTGCTGTAGCTCCCTCGCGATGCTTTGTACGCCGCCTGAAATTCTGCCTTGCATCGTCGCCTCATGTCGTGTGCGACTCGCCATTTCACTCTTTCTCGCTCATCTTTGGTTTTGCCAGGGAATATTTTAGAGCTGAAGTTTAGTTTTAAGAACGACTTTCGCCGATTTTCATTCAGGTGTTTCGCGTCTAATAAACACTCTACTTTTTCAGATCCGGCAGCTTCCTGCAAGCCGAGCGCAGCCTTGCTGTTGCCGTCTGTCGTCATGATGCCAATGTGCAGCGGATCCGCGTCCTTACCGATATCTCGCATGATCTGTCCCGCTGAGAGCTTCTCGTCTC